GGCTGGATAGTGCCGAATTTTTCCATCTTTGTGCATATAGTAATCTTGCCACAATAATCATATATTGAAATAATCTTCCATGGCTTTTTTCTAACTGTTTATCCATCAATCCTAAAAGGAAAAGTTCTGGCTTCAACTGAATATTAATCTTCAAAATCCTCTATATCAGTGTGTATTTGAATTCATTTTTTTTAGCTTTTTTATATGTCCACCAAGCATGATAAAATGTCCCTTCATGTTGTTCACATTTCCAACATACATTTGAAATGTCTTTACACATTCTAGATAATTTCTATGGCATCATGTACCAAGGATACATCATTTTATAAAAATTTTCTTTAAGATCATAACATAAATTTCAACCTTTTTAACCACATATTTTCCCATTGATCCATCTGTATATTATAACCAAAATTCATAGCCCCCTTTACCATACATTCTTTAACATGTTGTTCCTCTGTTTCAAATTTCAACAAAAGTTTATACATTTTAGCAATTACATATTCATCATTGGTCCACAATTGTACTTCAAACTCTGCCTTACTTTGCTCCATACTATAAGGCTTTTTATTGATTTTGAATGTTCCTGATAACTGTAAGTGGGAAAACAATTGATAACTATATTTTGCTATTAGTTGCTCTCTTGATTTAATCTTAATCACCCTTGATGATTTTCCAGTAATTCCTGGTACATTAACCATTTGTCTTTGCCTGTTATTTCTCTTCTATGGAATGCTTCTTGTGCTGAGATCCCCAGAGGTGCTTTCAGACACAACCTGGGTTTATATCTATTCCATATTCTCAATATGGCACATCTATTACAGTGGTTTTTAAAATCCACATTAACTTCATCATATTTTATTTATCATAAATATCCATGCCATCCAAGCATCAGGTCATGATCTTCTAACTCTAAAAGTCTCTTGTTTCTCAGCAACATCCATTCTTTCATCCAGATCAAACAACAAGCTGCAAAATACAATTTCAAATCCAGTAAAAGTAGTCCTCCCCTTTCCTTTGAATCTTGTGACACTTTATATTTAACTCGTGTTTTTTCCCTTGCCATATAATGTATATATGTCTTTTTTGCCATTGTTTGAATGGTACATCAGTTGTCGAAACATGTATTGTCTGAAGCAAAAACAAACACTTTACTTCCAATTAGCTCTCCGCAGTTACAGTCACACAGTCTGGCTCATATTATCCTTATCTTATTTTGAAAAATCCACCAATTATCTACTTTCCATAATAATAAGCAATCAGCATTCCCACTAAGGTCCAGTCTGTCTAATTAATTTTACTATTTTCAAAGGTATTTTCATCAGAAAAAAAATCTTCTGTTTTCTAAAATTATTGTCCCCTTTATCCATTTAAAACTTTCTTGAATCACAATCTTGTTAAGCTTTTTGCTTTTAAATTAAAATCCTTTAAGATGGCTTTTTTTCTTCTCTTCTTAATTCTAAAAAAAAGGCAACTCACCAAGAGTCTTTGTTCTTCCCTGCCATTTGAAATATCTCTCTTAGGTTATAAATTAATTATATCCAAAGGTGTTTAAAAAAGTGAGGTTTTTGCCAGTCATATGTCCATAAAGGCTACACAGCGATTTAGGGTGCGTTGATGTTCCCTTGGCTCCCAAGCCACTCAACTCACAATCAACCACAAGAAATTCAATTCTTGTGGTCTCCTGGCAAGGAACAGCTCTCCAGACTGCAAGTGGGTGATCCCCTGATCTCTCCTTCCTCCGGAGAGATTTTCTAGCCAAAACCTCTCTCCTGGCCACTGATTTCACCATAGTACTGCTCTGCTTGCAGAGCTGCTTGCAGGGACATCTAATCTGCCATAGGTCCTCACCCAGAAGCCCAAGTCTTTAATTTCTTTTGCTCATAATTTCTTATTCCTTTTCTGCACTTTGCATCATGATGCTTATCCAGAAGAGGAACAGCATGATGAGTATGTATATAAGAAGCCTAAATGAGATTTGCCACAAGTGCCTTGTAGAGGATGTTACGTCTGTCACATAGAATGATATTTTTAAACAAATGCATGCCACATTTTCCTTTTACCAGTCAGATAACTGAGTTCCTTTTATTCTGATTGTGATGACTAAAGGTCTTAAATAGATATTAAACATGTGGACTTCAACTCCCATGCTGGCTGGGGAATTCTGGGAGTTGAAGTCCACACATCTTCAAGGTGCCATGGTTGGGAAACACAGTTGTAACCTATCAAGGTCATATGATAAAAAGATATCTCATGATTAGGAACTTTGCTTCTTTTTAATGATTTAACTCTTTTGTTTGCATTAAGGCCTTGTAGGTTCAACCCCTTTAATTCAGACTAACTATTCCTGTTTGCCCTGATTGTAGTCCTTTGTAGCAGAATAGAAACCTGGTAATACAGTATTAAATAATAGGGAAGTAAGATTATTGTCGGAATACTTTTTCCGTAACCCATAATAGTTGCCATCCAAATCTGAAGTAAAAATAAAAACAGAAACTAGAATGGAGCTGCCAACATGTGTTGTGTCCTAGCCAGAATATTGATTCAGATGCCGAGTCTGATGCAGCAGAGCTGATAATCAAGATATGTCTACTACATAAAATATTGTTGGAAAATTGACAAGATAGCTGTTTAATTTTTCTTGGAAACTGGAATAAAAGCAAAAGCTAATCATAGTTATTTAATAATTTTGCTGATACATGCTATAGGCTACTGCTGAACCTGACTTACCAGAATTGGGCAAAGAAGAACAGAGAAGCTATTCAAGAAGAAAAGTAGTATCCAACTGGCACCGTTATGAAGATAGTGAGAAAGAAACCCAAAATGGCAGTGGTGAATCTCAGCGTGGGACAGACTTCAGTGTACTGCTTAGCTCAGCAGGTAAGAAAGGAGAATCACAAACAGTAGTCAATTTCATGAGATGAGTATTTGTTTTATAATAATGACATTTGGAATACTCCTCTCTTGGTGGTAAGAGGCCCATTAAAAATTTAGAGGTTTTGGTTGATCTTTCTAGGAAGAAGATTAGGAATCCAAGAAATGACTTTAGATCAAGTTAGTCCATGAGTTAGAGAATAATCTTAGGAGACAGGAGGAAGAGCTGTAGCCAGGGTAATGATCAGACAAGAGGTAGGAAGACACAGAAGGAATGTGGATGGAGAAAGGGTCTCAGAAGGGACCCTCCCTAGTTCCTGGAAAGTAAAAGCTAGGGAGGGGAGAAGAGCTTTTAAACTTGCAAGATTCTGTTACTATAACCTAACAATAAAGGTAGTGTTAGTACTCATGGTTTAGGTTTCCTGTCCGGACTACCTCAAAGGGCTGACTGTCCATTGACTCATTTACATTGGTTAATCTACACCAGGATTTTTTGAAGAGAAAATATTGGCCCTGTAACGGCTACTTCTGATCTCTTATTAAGCACTACTTATTCTTTTCTTAATTGTTAAGGCAAAACCACACAAAACAGTAAGTACAGGTAGTCCTCGTTTAGCAACTGCAGTTGGGTTAATTGGGATTGGCAACATAGTAGGTAAGTGAAGTGATTGCTAAGTGAAAAATCACAGGACCGCAACTATGGTTACAATTTTACACAGGACAACACGTACTAACTAACTGTAATGATGAACATATGACTCAGAGAGATGTGAGGGTTCTAAATGCAGGCATTGGTCACAAAGTTACTTTTTATTCACCATCGTAACTCTGAATGGTTGCTGTCTGAGTTGTTGCTAAGCGAGGACTACCTGTAACACTTAGGGACAAGGTCACTATTTTCTTATGATAGCCTCATACTCAATACTCAGTACTCAATACTCAAGACGTGTATGCAGAATGTGGTCTAAATCAATAAACCAGTTTCATTGACTGTTCAGGAGAAGCAGCTTATAGAGGAAGCAGGCAACTCCCCTTTTTATTTTTGATTTTGGAAGGGAGATTTACTTGGGATATTTGCTATGCTATTTTTATTGCATTGCCAGTATTAGCATTGTTGTCATGATTATTATTTATTCCTATTATTATCAATAGTGTGGCCTTATCCTTGCCACTGACTCCACTGAGAGTATTCTCCTGTGCTAGGCAGATAGAGTAGCCCTGGCAAAAATGCACACATGCAGCAATAGAGGTCTGGCTGAAAAGGCTCCTATCCAGTGACATAGAAGCTGAGTTGGAGCAAGGGAAGAAAATATGAGTCCTTCTGCCTCCGTTTTAGCTATATTGATTGTGACTGCCTAAGGAACTCGGAGCAACATTTCAATGCAGTGCATTGAGAGCTGGCTCTCTAACACCTCTGGATATACTCTTAGGTGTGAGAGAGAGTGACTTTTTATAGTAGTTTTTAATCAGATATTTGCTGCAAGGTTAAGCAGTTTCAGCTTTCTGTGTAGTCAGAAAGAATGTTTTTAGATTATGAGAACGTGCCTACTTCTTTTTAAATATCTAAGGTTTGTGAAGAGACTCCTTGATGGAAATAATTTTTGGTCTTTCCCCTGGTGTGGTAGTATAGTACTTTAAAAAGATGATGATTCCATTGGTTTGGCTTGGCATATTTTTGTAGTTGGGGTTTGTTGCCACTAAGGAAAACAGCTGTTAAATAAATTACCTGATTTATTTTCTTTGTTTGACATCTTTACTCTGCTTCTCTATTTTCCATTATATTTCTACAAATCCTTCTCTAATAATTTTTCATGTTATGAATATGGATTTGGCCTATATGTTTTTGAGTTGCAAAATTAATTCTTGTCACACAGCCTTTTGCTCTGTACCAGAATACTAGTGATATGGAAATCTAACGGAAATTTTGCCAGGGGAGTCAGGGAAGATGTGGACAGTTGATTTTCCATAATTTAATTGAAAAGAAATCAATGCCTATTTATTGTGTTTCATAGGTGAAGGTAAGGAGGTGGTGAAGGTAAGAAATCAGAGGTGAAATAAGTAGGATGATTATAATCTTGTTTTCTCTTTCATGATTTTCTGGTATGATAGTAAAATATAAAGAATATTTAAAGAGGTGATAGAAATCTGTATACCTTGCTTTAGTAACCCATACCCCCTCTGCATAGAGTTCAGATATCATATGTTAGTTCAAAATATGGTAATAAAGGAAAAATGATGTTGAAATGGAGCAAATAGGGCAGGAGAGGAGAAGATCTCCATCATTTCAAGGACAGGGATGAGCATGTTAGATCTGACCTCTTCTTGATTTTTTCCGTATGTGGTAGGTGAATGTGTACAGTGGGGAGCCTTCTCTATCCATGGAGGCTCTTTGCAGAGAGCCAGTTTGGTGTAGTGGTGAAAGTGCTGGCGTAGAACCCAGGAGACTGTGAGTTCTAGTCCCGCCTTAGGCATGAAACCTGGCTGGTTGACTTTGGGGCAGAACTGGAGAAGATCACAAAATACGAAGGCCTGCAAATAGAAGTAGAACAACTGTGGCAAAAAAAAAAAAAAAAAAAAAAAAAAAAA